TAAGTAAGTAATCAAAGGGCAAATAATATATGTGTTTTCCTCACAAAATATACATGAAGGAAAGAAATGACAACCAACCTGTTGGGGAAAAAAATGAATTTCCAGGCCTACCAACACTAGCAGCCCCAACTGCCTTTAGGCCAGGGTAAGAAGAACCCCATTTGCCAGGATATTATTTTCACCTGGCCACAGGGCCCACTAAAGATTAAGTTCAATACTTAGCCTAGATCTGGAACAGGCCCTAGAGTAGAGAGCAGCTTTATCAGCAGCAGCAACTCTTGCTCCAGCTCTACCAGCGTTAGGGGTCTTTCATACTTCTAAGTCTGGGTAAAGTCCACTTGGCAGATCAGGAGGCCTACATACACAATTACTACATACACAATTACTTCCTGCACTCCCAACATGGACAGGGGAAGAGATGGCAATGGGGAAGAAGAAAAGTGGCTTTGATCAATTGATAATATGCCATCAAGTCAGTGTTCACTTGGCTGGTGTGGGTCTTCCGGGCTATGTGGCCATGTTCTGGAAGTTTTGTTTCCTAACGTTTCGCCAGCATCTGTGACCGGCATCTTCAGAGGGCAGGAGCTGTCCCTGTCTGTGCTCCTGCTCTCTGAAGATGCCGGTCACAGATGCTGGCGAAACATTAGGAAACAAAACTTCCAGAACACGGCCACACAGCCCGGAAGACCCACACCAGCCATCGTATTCCGGCCATGAAAGCCTTTGACAATACATCAGTGTTCACTCTTTGCAACCACATAATAGACCTTTTCCAGAATGAACTGTCCCTACTCTGTTAGGTTTCCCTGCACATAACATTACAGGATTGGGTTTATCCACCTTGCTGCTGATCATCCTCTTCTCTTTCCTTCCATCTTTCCCAGCATTATGAACTTCTCCAAAATATGATAATTTGAACCTAGTCATTTGTGAGTTGAGTGAGAACTCTGAACTGATTTGGTCCATTTGTTTGTTTTCTTGGCTATCCATGGTATTCTCAGGAATCTTTTCCAACATCAAAGTTCAAAAGCATCACTATTATTTCTGTCCCACTTCTTCAAAGTTCACTTTCACTTCCATAGACTGTCACAGGGAAAGCCACTTCCTACAGGATTCTGACCTTGTAGCTATACAGTAGATACGTCACAGCATCTGAATACCTTTTCCAAGGCCTTCATTTCTACCCTACCAAGTGCTAATCTGTGGTGTATTTCTTGACTGCTGGTTCCTTTGCTGTTTATAGTCAATCCTAAAAGGCAGACACTATCCAACACTTCAACATCTTCATTGTTGGTTCTAAGGCTAGCACCAAGTACCTGCTGTCATTACTTTGGTCTTCTTTATATTTAAAGTTAGGCCCATTTTTTCACTGTGCTGCTTTGATTGCTAGAACTTGCGGATCATTTGCATTTTCAGCTATCAGGAGTAGTGTCATCGGCACAGTGCAGGTTATTTATGTATCTTCCATGCTCAATTTTAAAACCACACTCACTTTCCAATCCAGCCTCCATATATATTTAGCGTATGACTTGTATAAATAAGAAGGTATATAACCTTGTCTCACTTCTTTGCTAAACTGGAGACAATCTGTTTCACCATGTTCTGTCATATATAGCAACAGTGAGAAATTTTTGGATTACCATTTTCCTAAGGGCATTCTACAGTTTGACATGGTCAACACAATCAAGGCCTTTCTACACTCAATGAAGCACATCAATGAAGGAGAAGCAATAATGTATATTATTCCTTGGCCTTTTCTAAAGCCAGAAATATCTGGTTTTAGAACATCTGGCATCTCCCTTTTCATGTAGGGCTCTAATCTGCACTGGGTGGTCCTAAACATTATTTTTGCTAGCATGTGAAATTAAGGATATTATGCACTAGTTTGTACATGCTGTTAAGTCTCCTTTAGTATTGACATGTAAGTGGACTCTTCTAATTTGTTGATCACTATATCATTCTCCAGATTTGCTGGTTTAGTTAGAACCTTTACTGATTCTTCTTTTGTTGTTTGCCATTTTTCTGTAGAAAAATTGTGTAGCCTTCCAACCTGGTAATAATGGTGTGCTGATTTAACTTCATCCTCTAGTACTAGAGGTTCCTGTAAATAGGGAATATACTCTAAGGTACCTCAGATGCTGATATCCCTACTGTACAGAATTTCAGTATACTCCTTCCGTCTTTATTTGATCTTCCTGGAATCGATTACTATCTGTCCATTGGCATCCTTTAGCATACCAATTTGAGACTAGAACCCCCTTCTGAGTTCAGAGATCTTTTAAAAGACTTCCCTTGTTTTCTATATGTGTTTCCATCTTCAATGTTTTTGTAATACTGTACTGCTTCTTTTCTGTTCTAACAGCTCACAAATTCTTTGTTAAGCAATTTCCTAAGATCTTTGTCCTTTTTGCCTTTGGCTTCTCTTCTTGGCAATTTTCAACATTTATTCTGACAACCAATTTGCTTTCTTCTGTTTCTCAATATTTGGCAGTGTCTTTTCACATTCTTCCTTAATAACTTCTTTAATTTCATTCCACAGTTCCTCTGGTTCCATATCAATGAGGTTCACAACTTCCAAGCAATTCTTGATGTTTTTCTTGAAAATAGTGATCATATGCTCAAGATTGTATCGTGGAAACTACTGGGCTTTTGTCTTCTGCTTTAGCTTGACTTGGAAATTGCATATGAGTAGTTTCTGATCTGTTCCACGGTCATATCCTGACTACAACTTTGCTGTTATAACAACTCTTCCACCTCCTTGTACCAATAATATAGTCGATTTGATTTTTATGTGCTATACTGGAAGCTGGAAGGCTGCTGAGAAGGGTATAGTGAGTTGGAGGACTGCTGAGAAGGATACAGTGGGGAAGGGGCCTGGCACAGAAGAGGAAATGGTGGCTTCTTGGGTTGTTCGGTTGGAAGTAACTTCGGCAGATGGGGTGAAGGACCAATTCCAGAAGAGGAGAAGAAGGAAGCTTATAGCTTGAGTAAATTCCCTGAGATTACAGGTGGAGATGAAGATATAGAGCCCTAACTAGTGGTGTGAGAGAACAAAAGGGCAGGAGGTCCAGGAGTCAGAGCAGTTGAGCATTCTGCAGAGTCTGAGAACTGGGGAAGGGATGGGAAAGGAGGACTACTGGGAGGAAGCCTGGAGAGTACCCTGTACATCAGGAGAGTTGAGGGGGGGGGAGTCATAGAGGCTAGAGAGGAAGCTAGAGAGTTGGGGGGGAGGATTGCAATAGCAAAGGGCAGAGAGAAATATGATGGGATGCAGGGAGCAGGCCTGTATAGGGAAAGGGAGATAGGAAATTTGGTTCCAATACCCTTTGCTGGTCTCTCAGCCTCAGACTGGGGTTATGAATGGAAGATCATTCAAGACCTTGGACTTATGTTGGTTCTACTAAACTCCATGTCCATCTGTAATAAGGTCCTACTGTAATGGTATGTGGGAAAGACCTCGGAGACTGAGCCAAGAGACGCTGCTTAAGGAACATTCAGATAAGAGACAGCAAAGCCCATAGCTGGATAGTGGGCAGGGCAAGAGGCTCAGAAGAGACCCTCCCTAGTTTCTCGGGCTGTAAAGGAGACAGGGGAGAATTGTACTTCCAGACTTGCAACCTTACTAGCTATACCAGACAGGAAACACAATCAACTGAGCTAATTCTACTCTTATTACAAAACTACATTAACAGAATCTTGCATATCAGGAAATAGCCCCAAATCTGAAAGTATGAGTTCAGGAAGACTAAGGCTTAGAATGGGAAGAGGCTTGCAATGAATGCCAAAGATAACCAAGAAAAAAATGTTCTTTGGTTTTCTGTTATGAAACATGGACTAAAAAAACAAGAATGGATAATAATGAAAAATACTAAATTCATCAATTAGAAAACAGAAATGAAAATGTAGAGCTATAGGGTAAGAGATACCTGGCTTTATAATGGTACCTGTGAAAAAGTTATTGGAATAATTATTCATTACTAACCGGATATGAGTCAGTGTTAGAATGTGGCTACAACAAAGGTAAATGCTATAAGCAGAGACTAAAAGATGTTAACCTTGAGAAGATTGAGAGGAGAATAAGATAATGCTCTTCAAATATCAGAAAGGGTGGCACACTGAAAAAGGCCACCATGTGTCCTCTATAATTTCAGGAGACAGAACACCAAATACCAAATTTCAGCTATAGAAAAATGGATTTCAGTTTATTCTATTGTCAGAGAAAAGTTCAACAATCAACAAGATCAACTGAACAATCACCAACAAAGAGTTGCCTTTGACTGGGCATGTTTAAGTGCAGTCTAGACAGTCATTTGTCATCGATGCTTTAATCTGGATTCCTGAATGGAGCAAGGGATTAGGCTCAAATGTAGTTCTATGGTTCTATTATTCATTGTGTCACATAAACAAGGATTTCATCAACAAAAACATGATGTTAACCCTGGTTATGCCCAATTAGAATATCTGTCTCATACATTCCTAGGGCTGAAATTCACTTACTTTGTCAGATGCATGGTCAAAGAATACTGGAAGAGTTAGGTGAAGTTTTTGGCCCATTGGTGTTTTCCCAATTTTAAAGTGGAAATGGAAGTAGCAACCTCTGGAAAGCAAATTCACCACATTTTCACCTTAAAATTCCGAAGGTCCCCAAATAAAAATTATGCTTCTCAAATTCAATGACAAAATTACTAAATTTTGGTAGTCCAGCTTTATTCATTTTTGACAGCTTATCTGAATTCTTAAGGGTAGAAATTGAATTAGGTTTCCTAGAGGCCTCCCAGTTCCCTCCCCATCCTTTTATTTTCTAGGGAAAAAGCACACCATGGAAAATTGGCCATTTCACTGCTGAATTTTGTCAGTGATAGTGAGGTAGAGGGGTACACATAAGGTGCTCAGGAGCTGCATGTAGCCCATGGACATGAGTTGCCCATTCTATGCTGCAGCTTCAGGCACCTTTGTGTTCTCCTCCTTTTACTTTATTATTATTATGTTTATTTGCTTACCATTTTCCATAAGGAGGAATACTAGAGAACTCAAAGCTTCCATATTTCTTACTATGATTCCGAGGGGATTCTGTTTTCTTTACCTATAGAAAAAAAGTGCAATTAAAGAAACATCAAACTAGTCTGATCAGTGCCCCCTCTAGCTGGGTTCTTAGTTCTCTGCCGAGTGCTTTAGGGTTACAACTGTATTCTTGTATCAGACTATGACATACTGTAGTTTGTGATTAATACCCAATTAATTAAGTTCCCATATCATACAAATTCAAAACCTAGTCTGCATACCAAAATGGCTGAATTTGCACATCACACTAAGCCAAAATTGGGGGGGGGGAGAGAAAAAACATCTTCTGGGTCAACACACTGTTTGTCCCAGCCACTGGGAGTTGCTTCAAAGACTCAGAAATGCAGCCTGAAACCCTCCCAGCACCTGATTGACCCTGCTCCTGCATAAAAATGGTAATTAAATGTAAACTCAACTGCTCCCCCATTTTTATTTTGTTTAACTTAATACTGTTTTCCTGATGAAGATTAAAAATGACAGTCTTGGGCTCCAGCAAAAACAAAAGACTGGGAAAAGGCTTGTAGATAGAGAAGTACAGCATACTGGTTAGAATTCTTGATGTTGCTTTATTCATTTTTATTCATTTATTTTACTATTGCAATGATTTCATACTTTCCTCAGGGAGCTCAAGGCAATGCACAAAACGGCGTCTTCTATTTCTCACCAAAGTTTGGCTAAGAGTTTGTGACAGTTCTGAAGAACTCTGTGGTCAAATGAGGATTTAGCTCTGTATCTCACTACTGTGCCACACTGTCTGGTAGGCTTTTTAACAGCTGTGCCCCAGCAAACATTTGGGTCAGGATGAAGATTCAACAGGGATCTTAACCTGTTGGATTTCTTCTTGCCTTTTAAAGGTGCCAAGTAGATCTTCAGCTAGCCTGCTTCCCGTCCTTCCCCCAGTGACTTCCACAAAGACAAGAATAAAGCATTACATTTTTGCTTTCATGCCTCTCCCCCCTGGAAAGTGACAAAGAGAAAATGTGCTAGGAAACTTAGAGAGAAGGCTTTAAGAGCAAATAGCCCTTTCTTGTGGTCATGTGAACAGCTATTAATATCAGCTGTCTGGGAAGTCTAGGATGTGTCTACTTTTATTTTTAATTAGTCAAATGTACAACTTCAGTGTTCTCACACACAATATTTTGCGACCTTCAACTGGCTATACATATACTGTAGTATGGATTTAGGATATTTTCCAATATAACTTTTATTCTTTGTACTCTACATGTAAGGGAACCAATTTGGTGTAGTGATTAAGGCATCAGGCTAGAAACCAGCGGATCATGAGTTCTAGTCCCGCCTTAGGCACAAAGCCAGCTGGGTGACCTTGGGCCAGTCACTTTCTCTCATTCCTGGGAAGGAAGCAATGGCAAACCACTTCTGAAAAACCTTGCCAAGAAAACTGCAGGAACTTGTCCAGGAGTAAAAAAAAAGGCACAAAAAAAAGTTACCTATAAAATAGGCTAAGTTAGTACAATTATTGTAAAATAAACAATAATGCAATATAAGCCCTAAAAATTCTCCCCAAATAATGCAAATTAAAATGCCATTATGAGAAATGCATGTCAGGAGAGAAAGACCCATACTAAATAACTGACTAAGGAGAACAGGTCTGTTAAAAGTGCAACTGCAAGACCTGAGGAAACAACGTGCAACCCTGATATCTCCTGTAAGCCTCCCTCCCGCATGCCCTCCTCTTCTACAGTCTGGCTTCCAGCCCATGCAGCCTTTAAAAAGGGGCAGGAGAAGGGATGGAGAATTTTCCTGAGCTGCACAAATCAGCATTTGCCCTTCATCTGCCCCATTAACCTCTAGTTAACAAAGTCAGTATTAACTCACAGGGCTGCTGACTCATCCTTAGGAAAAGAAAGTGTTATGGGGAGGGGAGGAATGTGGGAACCCAGCCAGCCAGTTCCTGGCTTCTCACTGTGCACAACAATTGCTCTCTAGGATGCAGCTCTAAGAGAGAAAACTTAACCCACAGCCTCTGAGCATTCAATTCCTGTCTCACTTTTTTGCCTCCCATCAGAGGAATCAATTCGCCAGCTTCAAATGAATGATCAGAAGCCAGTACACGCTGTACTGTCTCCAGTGAACTGAGACCAAATGGAGCTTTACAATTGTTGCTGTTAGTAATTCTGCAGCAGCCAACCACAATCAATCTCTCCCTCCCTCTCTCTCAATTTCCTCTTCCCACCCCTCCTTTTTTAATCAGAAAATTTCCTGGGTGAGTATTCTGGGGGACGTGGCAAGGAAAAATAAGAAAAACAAAGAATTATACCTTCCTGTGGCAAAGGATGCTCTAACATTATCCCAGCAAGAGAGATGTTCACTGTTTGAATCAGAACTGTGTCTTTTTTTTTGTTACTTTGTCCACATTCTCACTGGAAATCTTTGCTACCTTCACATCTCATGGAAACAGACTCACATTTAGTGAGTATAGACAATCACAGTCTTTCCAAACCTGGCAACCTCTCCAGATGCTGGCTAGGCATTCTAGCCCCTAACAATGAGCCTGGATTCAGTTTCAATATATTATCCCACATCCAGCCCATTTCTGAGTATAGGCAGACATTCAGAGGAGCCACACCATTTCCTGAAGATGACACAGAAATATAGATACTCAGCACACTGATAGCACAACTCCAAATGTCCTGGTGATATCCCCCAGCAGTTTCATGTAGATCAGTGTTTCTCAACCTTGGCAACTTTAAGACGTGTGGACTTCCCCTGGCTGGGGAATTCTGGCTGGGAATTCTGGAAGTTGAAGTCCATGCATCTTAAAGTTGCCAAGGTTGAGAAACACTGATTTAGATACTTAAAAAATCAAGACAGAATGGAGCTCTGAGGGAACATCATCTAATGGCTGCCATTTCAAAGAGCAACGGTCTCCAAGTGAGGCCTTCTGAAATCTGCCTGAGAGATACAAAGAAAAGTACTGCAAAACTATGCCTCCTTATTCCTAAATCTCACAAGTGATTCTTCTTGTTCAGAGGCATCAAAAGATGCTAAAAGTTCAAGAAGAATTAACAGAATCAGATTCCCTTTGTCATTCCCCAAACCAGATCATCCATCTGGATAAAGCTGCCATGTATTACCAGCCTGACAGCCCTCAATGTTCTTGTCCATTTTAAGTGTTAAAAATTTAACTGCTAACACTTGTAGCACCTTTTCAACCAGCATGATATTCACAGCTCCAAATCAGTTTGGACTGTTTCAGGGCATCAACTTGATTTAACAAATCAAACTGAACACACTGGACCAATCTAGATGTTTTGCACACTTGCATGTATATATTTGAATGATCCAAAAGAGATCACATTGAATCAGGCCCAGTATGGAATGTTGGTCTGAATCAGTTCAGACATCCAAACTGAATCAGCCTAATTTTCTAAATGTATTTGAACTAGATTGATTTTACATATTGATTTGAATGTTCTAATTGCACTTGCTCTGATCTCTGGTAACTGTACCACAAAACAGCAGTGCATGGATCAAAATGCAAATGTAGCTTCAAGACGGTTCAATTCTGACTTTCTACTCTAGAGTCCATGTAAGGTTGAAGACAGGGATAAATCTCATAAATATTTTTTTTTAAAAACCTGCATTACTATTTTTGTCCTAAAATTAAAAATACTAAGAAACCAAGAAATGAGCATGTGTAGAATTATCCTGTTCACATCATCTATGGAACCTCAGTGATTTAACCCAACCATGGCCAAAGGGGAGTGACATGTAATGCCCATTACAAGCATATCTCATGAATCATATTAGCATTTAGTGTTTGTTATTTCTCATACCCATAGGTTTTTCCTAGTCCAGAGTAGTTTATGTGACTTTTCCTTCTGGAAAGTGATGAAGATTATTTTTTCCACACCTCTCAAAAGTCAGCCACACACCCTTTATTTATGTGGTTAGTTGCCAGATCTTAACCTTCAGCTACTGCCAACCAAGGTAGTGAGCCAAACACTGAAAGAAAACATCTTAAAATTATTGCTAAAAAAGAATATGAAAACTGAAAAGATGAAAACACAGGGAAGGAGTCATTTCCCTAGTACTACTTCACAATCAGTGCTAATTAGCTTAGCAAGCCTAGAATAGTTGCATTCTCACCAATTACTGCTGCTATGAATGGTCTTCGTGCTTCACGTTCATACATTTAACTTGAATTGTCACAGGTTGTACTTCATGCATTTTATTGCCATTTAACCTCTCCACTGTTTGCCATTTTTTTCTCTTTATTTATTCATTCATCACATTTATATGGCTGCCCGTCTCACAGAAAGCTACTCTGGGTGGCATATACCCATGTGCACAGAGAATCTACCAACTGAGAATAACACTTCATGCAACTGATGTTGTGAATTGTCTATGAATGTTTGTCATGCTGAAAAAAAGACTTCCTATTGTTATATGCAAGTTGGTTCTAAGCCTGGTGCTCAAAATAAATCTAATTTTAGACTCTTTAGAACAGAGATAGTAGATAACCTGGTGTCCTCTAGATACTTTGGATCATCAGACCAAGCCAGGATGACCAACAGAAAAGGACTGTGGAAACTATGGTATCAAATAGTGTATTCTTCTACTATAGAAGGAATTTAGGAACACAGAAAGCTATTGGTCCATTTAATTCAGTATTATTATCATTAATTGGCAGCAGTTCTCCAAGGTTTCAGACAGAAATCTTTTCTAGTCTAACATTGAACCAAATAACTTATATGTGCAAAGCATCTGCTTTGTCACTGAGTTATGGACACCTCCCCAAGCTGTAATTCATGGACCATTTTTTTCTACATGAGCCTAGCAAAATGTTGTTTTTTTCCTTTTTTTCTTAGTTGTCCTTCTTTGGATCTCCTTGCCTTCTGAGGTGACTCAGACAGTCAAATCCTGAGAGCCTTTTCAGTTATGATACCTCCCCAGGAGAGGCTTACCTATCTCAACCTATTGTCTTTTTGGTGCAAGGTAGCCTATTAGCCCAGATCACTGGATATTCCTGTGATCTGCATTTTATCCTGTTGATTTTGG